GAGTCTTACATTGAGCCTAGCTATTCACAATCTTCTCCCAGCCATACTGGTTAAATGATCTTCTTTGTATGTTTTTTAGCCTAGCGCTTACCCAACACTGTAGCTCCTAACAATCCTCTCTCAGCCACACTGAACGAGGAGTCTTTCTTTGTATACTTCAAAGCTAAGCTCAGGAATCTAGCCTTTAGCCTAGCTCTTTACAATATTCTCTTGGAAAGGCTTTTTATTTGTATGTTCTAGTGTGCTTGCATTTCGAGTTGCCAGCATTTGAAGTCGCTTAAAAGATGATCCAAATGTAGCTGACAATATTGTCCATATCCTTACCTGGGCACTTCTGCTTGTTGCATTCGCTGGTAGTACTGTCGGGTCCAAGTCCACTGCAATTTTTCCCTCCGTTTGCCGGTGGTGGATTGGTACACGTTCGTTTTCGTGTCTTCACCCCACCTCCACAAGTCTTTGAACACACACCGTACGGCTTCCAGTCTGAATAACCACCGTTAACTACAAAAAAAGAACATAAAATTATTACAACGAATGGCCCATTCCCTCTATGAGACTCGCCTGCAGGGAATCTTGGTAGTTGTATTCATCAAAATAACCATCCAGTTCAATCCCAGCAGGCGCTCCCTACTTAGAGAATTAGCTGTTGCCATGTCACGCAGTAGTGCTTACAATCATAAAGAATGACTGTATTGGAAACGTGCACGTAGACCAATCTTTTTATAATGATGTAGGACTGTGGTAGGGTAGGAGGCTGGTGGGGTTTGATGGAGGGAGTATGCCACATGACACAGCTTCAAAGAACCTTGCGTGTTAATCTAGTTGTGTGCACGAAAATGGAGGGAGTTGCTGACATCAGGTATATATTACAAGGTATGTGCTATTTGTCAGTATTTCCATTACATTTTTAAATCAAGAGTTCCGCTATAAATATAGAGGAGATGAGTATCACAGAAAGGTAGCGTTAGGTAAAACTAGTTGGCCAACCTTATTAATAGGCTGGTTTTTTTCAGGAGTTTGTACAGTAAAGGTGGGCTATATTACCAATTAAAGAAAGTAATGAAGATTCTTACTTGCTTTACATCCGTACAGCTCTACCCGCAAAGCGATGAGAATGTACCAGTCCTCAGGAATGATTCTTATGGTCCTTGTGATGACTGGTGGAATCAGGTCATATTTGACAACACTGTCTTTATCGTTGTTGGCTTTAAAAGTCTTAAAAAGAATAACTGTTTTGTAAAATGTAGATTTTTTTCTCTGTACCATTTAAGAGACCTAGATTGTCCTCATTATTTAACGAACATCTCGATCAGCTATTCTGAACGAAATTGAGAATGAAATGATCAATCGTAGCTCGTGCAATTTCTTGCAAGTTAAAGGAAACTCACTATTTGTCGTTTCTTTATTTTGAGAAGTCGAAGTTCTTCAATGGCTTTTTACCTCTCTTAGATCAAATATTAATTGATTGTGATTACTGCATACTAGTTAAGGCTGTAGATTCCGTTCACCGAAATTCGTCTCCTCCGCAGCTATTTTTTGGGGATGCCACGATACGCTTCCCCAAAGGTTGCAGACGAGACTACCGAAAGTCTTGACCAATCGTATTTATTCGCTTTTAGATAAGTTAACTGTAGGTTACCTCCTGCCGGGACAGTGGGCAGCTAGACACGGAATTAACGTTGTCTATTGTATTGTATAGTATTGTAAATTCAAACGTGATTATTTTCAAAATATTGACCTTGGTATGCCATTCTGGCTGGTATTGCTGGAGGAAACCGCGGTCATCAACGTATTGAAGTGTGTAACTCTTGACATAATAAGGCCCATGGTAATAACCCTGCGTGGCAATACCAGTCACTTGCGTGTCTCTTCCAAACTTGATCTGAAGCCACTGACTATGATCACTCACTGCTGGTATCCAGCCTCCATAACGTCCAACTCCTCCCTTATAGTGCAGTCTAGCATTACCAGGAGCGTACAGTAAAGTCGCATGGGCCAGTGTAGAGGAGGCTGTTACAGCAGAATCTGGAATTAACTTATCTTGCATCCCTAGTGGATCCCTACATCTGACCTCTTGGGGTATTTGGAAACCTAAGAAAACAAGACGGGGAAACAAGGCTGTTGTTGCCTTTAAGAACAAAAATGAAAGTCGACCCATAAAAACACAGGCACGTAGAGTGTTAACGGACAAGTAAACAAGTAACCAAAGAGTGCTACGACTGCCACTACAACTACAACTAACACTACCACTACTGTTACCACTACCACTACCACTACTACTACCTTTACCACTACCACTACTATTACCTCTACCACTACCACTGCCACTACCTCTACCACTACTATTGCCACTACCTCTACCACATCCACAGTGAATACCACTATCACTACCACTGCTACTGCCATGCCAATGCACTGCCACTGCCACTGCCACTGCCACTGCCACTAACACAACCGCAACCACACCAACTACAACTACCATTACAATTACTGTATGAAAATTCCTACTACAACCACTATCACAACCACTAAAACTACGTACCGCTGTCAATGCCACTGCCACTAGCACTACAATCACCACTTCCACTACCACTGCCACTACCACTTCCACTACCACTGCCACTTCCACTACCACTACCACTACCTCGACTACTACCACTAACACTACTGCTAACGCTACCACTACCACTACCATTACCACTTCCACTACCGCGACCGCTAGCACGACCTCTACGACGAGCACTACCACAACCACGATCACTACCGCTACCGCTCATGTTGCTGCCACTGCTACTGACACGGCCGCTGCAGCTGCCTTTACTACTACTTTGACGTTGACAGCTCCGTACCTGATCTACAACCATAGACATCAGCCCTCAATGAAATCCAGACATGGTATTCCAATGGATTGATTCGGATGTAGCGTGCAATAATAGGATTCTTTAGCTTGTGACTCACAATTGAGAATCGATCCTTATTCCCTTCAAATTCCTTAAATAGAACAAAAGAGTGCGGGTTTCTTGATTACCGACATGGCATAATTAACTAAGACGACACAATAGAACGTGTGGAGACAAACTAAAACCAAGAGTGTATGTAGGGTAAGATAGTTAACGTGGGTCTTATCCCCTTTGTAATCATTCTCAAGATATTTTCAGACATCGTACTTAGTTTTTTGGGGGTTAGACACCATTGGTGTTGCGTGGGTGTTTTAATGGAGTATAAATATGCGTGTAGATCGGTTTGGGCTCTTTACGTGATTATAACTCGTGACATGATTGGTTATTTCTTGATCTTCCCCCGATTTTGAAGACCATGAGTAAACATAATTTGAGGAATTACCTTCGGTACTCTTCAAAAACACACACACACACACACAAAAGGGTTTAAGATTGAGGAAAAATTACCTTGACAGAACCGTCTTCCAGGTAGTCACGGAAAAATTTCCCGTCATAACTGTACGTCAAACGATACTTTGTCACCCATTCGTAAGTATCGTCTCTTCCTTGAGTGGAAACTATCATCACTTTAACGAAACGCCCAAAATTCACCTGAAACCAATTGTTGTCTCGTAGATTACCAGCTGCCCAAGCTCCATAGTGTCCTGCTTTAAGCCTGAAATTAAGTCTTCCATTGCCTGGTATATATAAAGTTGTACCCGGAGCTACGTAGCTTGAAGCAGTTATTGAGGAGTCCGGAATGGCATAATTTTCCAGACCTAATCCTTCCTGACAAGCAGGGGGTTGCCGGGTGGGAAAACCTGAAGGAGAAATCATGAATTTTATTTGTTTGTTTTATTTTAGAAGTGACCTATGTACATGCATATAGTATATCAGTTATACAAACTGCTGACTAGCTATTGCCAACTTACTGTACAATTGTTATGGTGGAATGATTCTTCCTTCGACTGCTTAGATGGCTCACGTGCGGTATAAATCTTTGTGTATATGACGTGAAATGTCAAAGTTTTGCGTATTTTGGTGAACGTGAGCCCCGACGACGAATTTTTTGCACTTTCTTTTGGAAATGATGACTGGCGTTACATATTAAGTTTGGGCGGGTTTTAAGTCCAATTGGC